CCAGCGCGACATAGGGTGGCTGTGCCTCAGCGCCGACCCCTACCTACTGAGATTTTGAAAGTAACTGCAGTGGATCTATAGATCAATTTGGGGAAATTTTTTAAAAGATTTATTTATTTTATTTGAAAGTCAGAGTTACACAGAGAAGGGTGGGGGAGAGAGAGAGAATGAATCTTCCATCCGCTGGTTCACTCCCCAATTGGCTGCAACAGCCAAAGCTGAGCTGATCTGAAGCCAGAAGCTAGGAACTTCCTCTGGGTCTCCCACACAGGTGCAGGGACCCAAGGACTTGGGCCATCGTCTACTGCTTTCCCAGGCCATAGCAGAGAGCTGGATTGGAAGTGGAGCAGCTGGGTCTGGAACCAGTGCCCACATGGGATACTGGCACTGCAGCCGGCGGCTTTACCCACTATGCCACAGCGCTGACCCCTATTAATTAACTTTTGCAAATGATTCATGGTAAAGGGAACAGGGATAAGTTCTACACCTCAGCGAAACACATAAGTTGCCTTTCATCACTGTATGTGTTCATTTTATGTTCCTGCTGCTACTCTATGTTTTGCCAATGTTTAGTATTATGTAGCTACAGTGCTAAGAAGGACCAGTCATTATTTCCCAGATGTGAACAGGGTGAAACTGTTGAATCCATGGTGGCAGGAAGGTTGCAGGTCTTACACACATAGCACGTTGCTCTTTCTGTTGCCCTAGGCTCTGGTAGCGTTTCTTTGTTCCAACCACCCTTTAACATTCTTCCTTGTATATCAGAATTTTAACTTTAGGAGATACCTTTTATAACGTCTTCGGACTTGTCTTTTATTTTTGATATTAGTAACTATTTCAAGCATATATTACTCTAAAAGTTACATAATAGACACTTAGTCCTTTACAATGATCATATGTAAGATTCAGTATTCTTGCTGCTCAGCACCGTTTTGAATTCACAGCATGTTTAGAATTAGAAGCCAGAGGGAGGTTTTCCTGAAAAAAAAATATGTCTACGAATTAGTTCTTTATAATAGTGATTCTTATTGTTTAGTGTTTGATTAAAGTAAGTAAATCTAGCTTCCCTTAAAATATAAAAGTAGTATATTCTTTAACCTGATTTTTCAAATGGATTAAAATTACTTTCATTTTGAGATTTAATGATACGTATTCTTTCACATTCTGGGAAACAAGAAAAAAAAATCAAAGTGAGAAATCTCAGTCTGTAAGAATTCCAAATGTATTCTGATGGAATTTCAGGGATCTAATACTTCCTAAGAGAAATTTCAGGGATCTAAGGCTGTGCATATTTTCCTTTTTCTTCCATGACAAATAGAAAATTTCAGAATAATTGATTCTGCAGTTATATAATTTCGTGGAGTAAAACAATATGGTAACTTGAATATATCACCCACATGAAGAAAGACTATCCTCAAATTTCCAATTAAGCTCAGTCATGCTTTTGTGCTAGGGTCTGGTTTCTAACTCTACAGTTTCTCCTGGCCTTAATTAAATCATCTCCTCTTTGGTGTAGATTGTTTTTCTGAAACCTGAGCTACATATCATGAGTCTAGATAAAAGACTTTTAGAGTCATAGACCAAGAGGTTTGACTTAATAGCATTGAAAACTCTCCATGTAAATTTTGCATTAATGGTGAGTGAAGGGCATTTTTGATCATGATGAAAATTTTAATTTGGCACATGATGGGGACTGATTGAAAGACTTTCTTATTTCTCAGCAGCAAGCAGTAGAACTTTTGGTTATAGGGGCAAGAAGTGAAGAATGCAGTAGGATGGGGCAGAGATGGGTCAGTGCCTGATTATGGAAACTGCACAGCCATGATTTACTGGGATTTAGCAAAATTCTGGTCATAATGTCATGCAGTCCTAGTTTCATTGGTGGGTGAGTGCATTTCCATCAGCAAACTTGTTCCCAGACACTCGTGAGAGTAAGTGCTATTTCTCACCCACAAAACTGCCTCTCTCTTGGGCATTTACAAAAAATATTGGTAACCCTGATATAACAGAATTAAAAGATTGCAAGCTCTCTGCTTTGTTACTGGTTTAAACCATGGGGAAAAAATTTTATGTCACTCAAACAAGCAGTTTAGTAAATAGGGAAAGAATTGATTGGCCTTTTGTCACCAATTTGTATCTATGTCCTGAAGAGGCCGCCTGATAAATGTCACTGTTCTCTTTTTTCTTTTTTTGACAGGCAGAGTGGACAGTGAGAGAGAGAGACAGAGAGAAAGGTCTTCCTTTGCCGTTGGTTCACCCTCCAATGGACGCTGATCCGATGGCAGGAGCCAGGTACTTATCCTGGTCTCCCATTGGGTGCAGGGCCCAAGTACTTGGGCCATCCTCCACTGCACTCCCTGGCCACAGCAGAGAGCTGGCCTGGAAGAGGGACAACTGGAACAGAATCCGGCGCCCCGACTGGGACTAGAACCTGGTGTGCTGGCGCAGCAAGGTGGAGGATTAGCCTAGTGAGCCGCGGCGCCGGCCCAAATGTCACTGTTCTTGATCTTTTATTTTGAGATTTATAACCTAATACTCTTGATTTGCAGAGTTACCAATTAGAAAACATCTCTAATAGATATATGATTAGGTTTGAAATGAATATGTCAACACAGGCATACTTTTACAGATTTATAACTATTAATCATACATAGATAATTTTTTATTGTGTATTAGCACTTTAGTAATTGTCACCTACTTAGTTTTCTACCATGATATTTTAGAATACAGGTCAGAAAAACAAAGCAAGCACAAAAGATCTTCTGATCAAAGTAGATAGTACAAAGTCTATGCATTAATTCAAAGTAAAGACCCCGGGGCCCGTATGCAAAGATGTGTTTGTAAAAATTATTATTTTAGACATACTGGTAGCATGTTTGTCATTTCCAGAATTTAGCAAACCAGAAACGGGGAATTGGAACTGGGTAGGGAGCCTGCGGAGCACTAGCAGCAGAGAGAAGTAACAGCTGGTAGTCTAACAGTGAAAAGCAAGAATGAAAAGCAGGTTTGACAATTGAACTAAAGCAGAAGTGTAGGACAGTTTGTGTATAGACCAGAATCTTTTATGTCTTATGCCCATTCCTGTGTTATAATGATGTAAGAATAAATGTTTGTGCTGTCATTTGAATGTGATTTATCCCTTGGACCTCATATAGGAGTTCAATACCCAAAGTCTTTTTTTATATTTTAGGTAGCTTTTATTTAATAAATACAAATTTCATAGGTACAGCTTTAGGAATATACTGGTTCTTCCCCCCATACCTGCCCTCCTGTCCCATATCCTATTCCTTCTCCCGTCCCATTCTTCATTAAGATTCATTTTTAATTATCTTTATATACAGAAGACCAACTCTATACCAAGTACAGGTTTCAACAGTTTGCACCCACACAGACACACAAAGTATAAAGTACTGTTTGAAAACAAGTTTTACTGTTAATTCTCATAGTACAACTCATTAAGTACAGAGTTCCTACATGGGGAGCAAGTGCACAGTGACTCCTGTTGTTGATTTAACAATTGACACTCTTATTTATGACGTTAATAATCACCCAAGGCTCTTGTCATGAGCTGCCAAGGTTATGGAAGCCTTCTGAGTCCACAAACTCCGTCAGTATTTAGACAGGGCCATAAGCAAAGTGGAAGCTTTCTCCTCCCTTCAGAGAAAAGTACATCCTTCTTTGATGGCCCCTTCTTTCCACTGGGATCTTACTCACAGAGATCATTCATGTGGATCATTTTTTGATACAGTGTCTTGCCTTTCCATGCCTGAAATGCGCTCATGGGCTTTTCAGCCAGATACGAATGACTTAAGGGCTGAATCTGAGGTCAGAGTGCTGTTTAGGGCGTTTGTCATTCTGTGAGCCTACTGTGTACCTGTTTCCCGTGTTGGATCATTCTCTTGTTTTTAATTGTATTTGTTGTTATTACCAGACACTTGGTCTTATTTAACAACACTCTAATGGTATTAAGAGGATGAAAACTTAACTATGGTATTTAAAGGTAGGGTCTTTGGGAAGTGATTGGAATAGATTTAGTCACAAGGGTAGAGCCCTAAGATTGAATCCAGGTGGCTTTATGAGGAAAGAGATATCACATAGAGGTACACACATGCACTCTGCCATGATGTGGTGCAGCCAATGTGGCCCTCACAAGGGCCTGTGAAATGCTGTTTGGACCTTGCATCTCCATTGCTTTCCTCTTTATAAAGGAGTCTCCACAAGAATTTTGTAGCAACAAAAAGACTGACTGATACAGTTCATATTAATCACATGGCACAAAACAAACACTTGGCAAATAGTGGCTGAATGAATCAAGAAAAAATGTTAGATTATAATTGGTTAGCTACTTATAGGAAAAAGGGAAATGTATGAAGGAATTCCTTTTATTCTAGAAAGGTTTTCTTCAAAAAGTATTATTATTATTAAAATCACATCTTTGACACTTAATGGGGTAAGCTTTTTTTTTTTTTTAAAGATTTATTTATTTACTGGAAAGTCAGAGTTACACAGAGAGAGAATGAGAGGCAGAGAGAGAGAGGTCTTCCATTTGCTGGTTCACTCCCCAATTGGCCTCAATGGCCAGAGCTGCACTGATCCGAAGCCAGGAGCCAGGAGCTTCTTCCAGGTTTTTCATGTGGGTGTAGGGGCCCAAGGACTTGCACCACCTTGTACTGCTTTTGCAGGCCAAAGCAGAGAGCTGGATCAGAAGTGGAGCAGCTGGAACTCAAACTGGCGCCCATATGGGATGCTGGCACTGCAGGCAGCAGCTTTACCCACGATGCCACAGCGCCAACCCCATGGTGTAAGCTTTAGTAAGAAAATTAACTTGGGAAATGATCTTATTTCCTGTTAATTCTAACTTAATTGAGAATTTCATGTTACATCTAATTTCATTTAGCTAATTTCATTTTACATCTCATATTTACATTTCTATTTATTAGTACTGAGATAGTATCACATAAGTGCTGAAAACAAATTATTTGGTTTCCTTTGAATTGCAGAAGTCTCTCTTATTTGGGGCAATGTTTCAGAATTTGTGGAACGACAGTTAACCCTTCACAAGGTAGGACTTATACTTTTATTTTAATGTAGGTGTCAAAAAGATATTTCCTTTATTTTCTGGTATCAGGGCAGTAGACTATAGAGCCACTGGTTTTACTTATTAGTCCTATGACTTACAATACCCATACTGGATTTGTGGGTAATAGGTTTAACAATTGGGAGCTTTATCCTTAAGTAATGAAGTTATAAGTTTTGCCCTTCTAGAGATACCAGGCTCTAGTAACTACTGTTTTACTCTACACTTCTATCAGTTCAACTTTTTAGCTTCCACATGTGAATAAGAATGTGCAATATTTGTCTATCTATGCCTGACTTATTTCATTGAACAAAAAGTCCTCCAGTAGGAAATGGATTTTGATTGAAATTTAAGAAGACAGTGAGGAACTAAACTCACCTTGCCAAAAATAAGAAACTTTTCCCAGGGTTGGATTATTTTCTACTGTTAAGTCTCGTACTTGATGCCACAGAACTGGACAGAAAGTTTGGGAGGAGCACAAGGGAGCTGGATGTGGTAGAGCATTTATACTCTACTTAGAAGGCACATTGAGAATCCTTAGGCTGAATTCATCCTTCAGAATTATTATTTTTAAAAAACATTTGTTTATTTATTTGAAAGGCAGAGTTAAAGAGAGAGAGAGAGAGAGGTAGAGACAGACAGAGAAAAATAAAGATAGAAATATCTCCCATCTGCTCATTCACTTCCTAAGTGGCCACAACAGCCAGGGCTGGGCTAGGCCAAAGCCAGGAGCCAGGAACTCCACTTGCAACTCCCACATGGGTGGCAGGGGCCCAAGTACTTGGGCCATTTTCTGCTGCTTTCCCAGGCATGTTAATGGGGGCAACTTATCAGAAGTAGAGCAGTCTAGGTTTGAACTGGTGCTCATATGGGATCCTGGTGTTGCTGTCTCACAAGGATGGCCCCCTTCAAATTTACTTTAAGAATTTGAATTAGTTACCACTCCTTAAAATTAGGAGAGTTTATTTAAATTTTTGGAATTTTCTCCATTTTGTTGAAAACTCCGCTAATATAGTAATACCAGTTTTCTATTCCTACATGGTGACACTTGGTTGGAATCCAGTTTTTAAATGGATATGTACTCTAGCAATCACACACTCTGGCTGACTACCTTCGCACCCTTGCATTCTTTCTTGGCTCCTGTAAGCATTTGCTTTTGTAACTCTTGATGAATTATATCACCAGGGAGTCAGAGTCCCAATTTGAAAGCCAAAACCATTTGCTTCTCCCCATCAGCCAAGGTTCTACATTGTAGCATATATCTTGGATCTTGGATGCTGGACTGTCTGATTTTAGTTGGAGACATAAAATATAGACTAGGAATGAAAAAGCAAAGCTTCTCATGACCCCTTACATTCTTCTAAAGGTGAATGATGAAAACTTAAAATGTCACAGAATTTGGGACAAGTGTAATCTTAGACATAGGTTAAAAGCACATTTTCTTAGTCCTTGGAGGATGAGGAATCTGTATCTGTAAAGCATAATGGTTCAGTATTGTACTTTATATTGAACTTATTTGGAAAATTAGTCATATGGTGCTACAGCTCTAAAGGATCATAGAAATCATTGAATTTTTAAGGCCTCAGGCTGATTCTCTTTGTTTGTTTTGGATAATAGTCACAAGAATGACTTTTCTTCACCTCTTCAATAAACTATACTTATTACTCTCCTTGTCCTTCTTTTTCCTTCCAGGGTGTTCAAATTCCAGGATTTGGAACATTCACTTTCATGAGACAAAAGCTTGAGATTGGAAACAACAAGTTTATTCTAATCCAGAGGCCCATATTCATCATGGCAGAGAAGTTAGTCCAGACCCATGGACTCAAACAAAACAAAATATATACTCCTGGTAAATCATTTTACTATTTAAGATTTTTCCAGAAGGCTACTGGCTTGTGGCTAAAAAGGAGAGGGCAAAGCTTGGCCAGTGCTGCTTTATTAGTTTCTGATTGGATGGGCTCACTTTTCCCATATTCACTTTGGCAGAGGGTCCAAGGTGGAAAAATAATAGAGCTTCCCTGCAGGTCATTTAAAACCCCAGTAACTTAAAAGGTAGACATAGGAAGGCTTAATGTGACAGCAAATTTATATAAAAGCTGCCCCAGAGTTTACAGACCTTCATATTTCATATCCTAAGAAACTAAAAGTGATGCTAAGTAAGAAGTTAATAGGGTCTCTGGTTGGGAGAGTTAGAGTCAATATAGTTGTGAAAAAATGACAATGTATATCTATGTATCTCATACATTTTATATTTGAGTATTTATAATAAACAAATCAGAAGTTGCATAAAATTCCATGATGACTTAGTACATACCCTCCTCATATCCTAAAACCTCCTTCCCCGTTGCCCCCTGCCTGCCTGCCTTCACAACATTTACTGAGGGCCAGCAATGTGTCAGGTCTAGTTCCAAGCATTTGAGATACAGTGGTAAGCAAAACAGACGTACTCCCTGCCATAGGATGCTTGCATCCAGCTTTAATGCGTGGGCCTCCCGATGTCTACCCTGGTTGCTTAGTGGCCTTTGGGACTTCCTTCCTGATGGCTGGTTTTGACCTTCCTTATTGTCCCCGCTCTTCTTGCAACAGACTCATCCTTGCACAGAGACAGTCTACCCCCAATAGCAAGAGATGAAAATATTGTAATTTTCCTTTCCTGAAAATTTTTAGAGTAAATTTCTACTAAAAATGAGATAATGGAAAAGCAAATAGAGTGTACTTTCCATCTTAAGTCTTATGGTACACTCTCAGAGAAGTACTTTAAGTCTGCAATTAATTTTTAAATTAATATAAAGAAAATAGATTTCATGTAGCTCACAGATAGGATTCTAAGAATATAATGAGGGCCAGTGCTGTGGCATAGTGGGTAAAGCCACCAACTCAGTGCCAGCATCCCATATGGGCATTGGTTCGAGTCCTGGCTGTTCCACTTCTGATCTAGCTCTCTGCTATGCCCTGGGAAAGCAGTAGAAGATGGACCAAGTGGTTGGGCCCCTGCACCTGCGTGGGAAACCTGGAAGAAGCTCCTGGCTCCTGGCTCTTGGCTTCGGATCAGCGGTAGCTCTGGCCATTGCGGCCAACTGGGGAGTGAACAAGCAGATGGAAGACCCCTCTCTCTCTCTGCCTCTCCTTTCTCTATGTAATTCCGACTTTCAAATAAATAAATAAATCTTTTTAAAAAAAGAATGGCTCTAAAAAAAGAATACCTCTAAAAAATATAATGATACTTATTCCCTCAATATAATAATACTTATTCCCCTCCTCCCTCCCTCCTCCTCCTTCTTTCCTTTTTTAAAAATTTTTGTGATAACATTTTTTATTAAAAATTATTTATTTATTTGAGAGGCAAATGCTTAACCTACTACACCACAGTTCTGGCCCCATAAGTGATTGTTTAGAGTATTCTTATCTTCTCTCTGTCCTCTTCCTCTATCAGTTGACTTTCTTATTGTTTTTTGTTTGTTTGTTTGTTTTATTGTTTTTTGGCTTTATCATCTTGAGCCTCTCTATTTTTTCTTTTCTGACTTATGGACCTTGTGTGGCCCCACATCTGTTCTAGTTGAATAGATCATGTGCTTCTTTTCTTTTTTTAAAAAAGATTTATTTATTTAATTGAAAGGCAGAGTTACAGAGAGGCAGAGGCAGAGAGCGAGAGAAAGGGAGAAGGCTTCCATCCGCTGGTTCATTCCCCAAACAGCCGAAATGTCCAGAGCTGTGCTGATCTGAAGCCAGGAGCCAGAAGCTTCTTCTGGGTCTCCCAAGTGAGTTTAGGGGCCCAAGGACTTGGACCATTTTCTACTGCTTTCCAAGGCCATGGCACAGAGCTGGATTGAAAGAGGCACAGCTGGGACTTGAACCGGTGCCCACATGGGATGCTGGCACTGCAGGTGTTGGATTTATCAGCTGTTCCACAGCCCCAACCCAATCATCTTCTTCTTCTAAACTAGATATAATGTTACTTATTTTTGTCTTTCTTTTTTTTAAAAAACTTTTATTTAGTAAATATAATTTCCAAAGTACAGTTTATGGATTACAATGGCTCCCCCCCCATAACTTCCCTCCCACCCACATCCCTCCCATCTCCCTCTCCCTCTCCCATTTCATTCACATCAACATTCATTTTCAATTCTGTATATACAGAAGATGGATTTAGTATGTATTAAGTAAAGATTTCATCAGTTTGTACCCACACAGAACATAAAGTGTAAAATACTGTTTGAGTACTAGTTATAGCATTAATTCACATTGGACAACACATTAAGGACAGAGATCCCACATTACGAGTAAGTACACAGTGACTCCTGTTGTTGACTTAAGAATTTTTTTTTTAATTTTTTGACAGGCAGAGTGGACAGTGAGAGAGAGAGACAGAGAGAAAGGTCTTCCTTTGCCGTTGGTTCACCCTCCAATGGCCGCCGCAGCCGGCGCGCTGCGGCTGGCGCACTGCGCTGATCCGATGGCAGGAGCCAGGAGCCAGGTGCTTTTCCTGGTCTCCCATGGGGTGCAGGGCCCAAGCACCTGGGCCATCCTCCACTGTACTCCCTGGCCACAGCAGAGAGCTGGCCTGGAAGAGGGACAACTGGGACAGAATCCGGCGCCCCAACCGGGACTAGAACCTGGTGTGCCGGCACCGCTAGGCAGAGGATTAGCCTAGGACTTAAGAATTTAACACTCTTGTTTATGGCATCAGAAATCTCCTTAGGCTCTAGTCCTGAGTTTCCAAGGCTATGGAAGCCTCTTGAGTTCGCTGACTTTGATCTTATTTAGACAAGGTCATAGTCAAAGTGGAAGTTCTCTCCTCCCTTCAGAGAAAGGTACCTCCTTCTTTGATGGCCCGTTCTTTCCACTGGGATCTCACTCGCAGAGATCTTTCATTTAGGTGTTTATTTGTTTGTTTGTTTGTTTTTGCCAGAGTATCTTGGCTTTCCATGCCTAAAATACTCTCATGGGCTTTTCAGCCAGATCCAAATGCCTTAAGGGCTGATTCTGAGGCCAGAGTGCTGTTTAGGACATCTGCCATTCTATGAGTCTGCTGTGTATTCCACTTCCAATGTTGGATCTTTCTCTCCCTTTTTTATTCTATCAGTTAGTATTAGCAGACACTAGTCTTGTTTATGTGATCCCTTTGATTCGTAGACCTATCAGTGTGATCCATTGTGAACTGAAATTGATCACTTGGACTAGTGAGATGGCATTGGTAAATGCAATCTTGATGGGATTGTATTGGACTCCCCTGGTACATTGCAAACTCCACCATTTGGGGCAAGTCCGATTAAGCATGTCCCAAATTGTACATCTTCTCCCTCTCTTATTCCTACTCTTATATTTAACAGGATTCACTTTTCAGTTAAATTTAAACACCTAAGAATAATTGTGTGTTAATTACAAAGTTCAACCAATAGTATTAACTAGAACAAAAAAATACTAAAAGGGATGAAGTATTAAATTGTACATCAACAGTCAGGACAAGGGCTGATCAAGTCACTGTTTCTAATAGTGTCCCTTTCACTTCAACAGGTTTCCTTTTTTGTGGTTGGTTAGTTGTCACCGATCAGGGAGAACATATGATATTTGTCCCTTTGGGACTGGCTTATTTCACTCAGCATGATGTTTTCCAGATTGCTCCATTTTGTTGCAAATGACCGGATTTCATTGTTTTTGACTGCTGTATAGTATTCTATAGAGTACATATCCCATAATTTCTTTATCCAGTCTACTGTTGATGGGCATTTGGTTGGTTCCAGGTCTTAGCTATTGTGAATTGAGCTGCAATAAACATTAAGGTGCAGACCGCTTTTTTGCTTGCCAATTTAATTTCCTTTGGGTAAATTCCAAGGAGTGGGATGGCTGGGTCGAACGGTAGGGTTATATTCAGGTTTCTGAGGAATCTCCAGACTGACTTCCATAGTGGCTTAACCAGTTTGCATTCCCACCAACAGTGGGTTAGTGTCCCTTTTTCCCTACATCCTCGCCAGCACCTGTTGTTGGTAGATTTCTGCATGTGAGCCGTTCTCACCGGGGTGAGGTGAAACCTCATTGTGGTTTTGATTTGCATTTCCCTGATTGCTAGTGATCTTGAACATTTTTTCATGTGTATGTTGACCATTTGGATTTCCTCTTTTGAAAAATGTCTACTGAGGTCCTTGGCCCATCTCTTAAGTGGTTTTTTTTTGTTGTTGTTATGGAGTTTCTTGATCTCTTTGTAGATTTTGGTTATTAACCCTTTATTGCCAGCGCTGTGGCTTAATAGGCTAATCCTCTGCCTTGCGGCACCGGCATACCCAGTTCTAGTCCCGGTCAGGGTGCCGGATTCTGCCCGGTTGCCCCTCTTCCAGGCCAGCTCTCTGCTATGGCCCGGGAGTGCAGTGCAGGATGGCTCAAGTGCTTGGGCCCTGCACCTGCATGGGAGACCAGAAGAAGCACCTGGCTCCTGCCTTTGGATCAGCGCGATGCGCCGGCCGTGGCGGCCATTGGAGGGTGAACCAACGGCAAAAGGAAGACCTTTCTCTCTCTCTCTCACTGTCCACTCTGCCTGTCAAAAAGATAAAGTAAAAAAAAAAATAAATAAAAACCCTTTATCTGTTGCATAGTTTGCAAATATTTTTTCCCATTCTGTCAGTTGCCTCTTCACTTTCCTGTTTCTTTTGAAGTACAGAAACTTCTCAATTTGATGCAATCCCAAATGTTAATTTTGGCTTTGACTGCCTGTGCTTCTGGGGTCTTTTCCAAGAAATCTTTGCCAGTACCTATATCTTGCAGGGTTTCTCCAATGTTCTCTAATAATTTGATGGTGTCGGGTCATAGATTTAAGTCTTTAATCCATGTTGAGTGGATTTTTGTGTAAGGTGAAAG